TTTTGTTCATTCTGGGCTACACACCCTAGATGTATTCAGTAAGCCCTGTGAAGGAAGAAACAGGAAGGAGAAAACATGTTGGCCTTATACTCATGGAGTTAACAAACACATAAATTATAAGAAACAGCTAGCTGGGTTTTTTAAGCAACACGGGAACATATGCAAGGCAAAATACAGTGTTCACAGGTTGAGGGGATCTTGTGTTTGAATGTTGGCTCTTTCCTGATTTAATTCCTAGATGTAGCGAGCTTGATATTTAGCTAGTCTGAAAGGAAACACAAGTGCCCTTTGCATTTGCTCCTCTTAACACATGCGGTGGTACAGATTCCAAGCCTGCTCAGTACATTGCTTCATATTATCTCTTAATTGTCTCTTAAGTACAGACAGATCTTGTCTCTCTAATCATAAAAGATGTTTGTAGACGAGAACCATGCCTTATATTTCCTCTGTGTCTCCTGTGGTTGTTACGTTGTTAGGTACCATGCAGTCGGTTCTAACTCATAGCGACCCCACGTATAACAGAATGAAAAGCTGCCTGGTCCAGCACCTCCTCACAACCATTGCTGTGTTTGAGCCCATTGCTGCAGCCACTGTGTCTATCCATCTTGTTGAGGGTCCTCCTCTCTTTCGCTGACCATCTACTTTACCAAGCGTGATGTCCTTCTCGAGGGACTGGTCCCTCCCGATAACATGTCCAAAGTACACGAGACAAAGTGTCTCCTACAAAGTCCCAAACTATGCCATTTTAATATCCCCAGGAGTTCAACCCCTACTGTGTACCAGGCCCTGTGTAGGATGCTACCGCTGCAGAGATGGACAAGATCCTGTCCTCAGAGATTTCCCTTTATTCATGCAAAAAAACATTCTGTGAACCTTTCCCAAGTGAAAGGCTCTGTTCTCAGGTGGAGATGAGCAGCACGCTCCCTCCACACTCAAGCTTCGTGGTCCAGTGAGGAAGACAGACAAACAACCAAGCACAACAGGATCAGTGCTTCAGCAGGGGTGTGCGCTGGCGCCGTGGGGGTACATGAGAGTACAAGGCACTGGGCTTGATGGGCATGAGGATGAGCAGCAGAGGAAACGGGACAAGTGGCCAATGTCTGGATAGACAAAGGGCTTTTTCCAGGTGGAGAAAGGGGAAAGGGCTTTTGATTAAAGGCATGTCTGTGAAAGTATGAAGCACTCAGGGAATTGCAGACAGTATTAGGGGGTAAAAACTGGGGCGGAGGGGCATAGAAAGTAGAGGTGGGGGAAGAAGCTGGAAAGGGAAGCAGAAGCCAGACCATGAAGAGCCATTGGCACGAGGTGTGGCCTAATCCAGAGGCACTGAGAAGCGATGGAGGATTTTCAGCAGAACTTTCTTCATGCTAGAAAGCTCACTCTGGCAAGAAGATAGGTAGATACGGAAATGGGATGATGTTGGAAGCAGAGTAACCAGTCAGGATATATGCAAGAGGCTCAGCAAGAAATGATGAAGCCCTGGATACATTCAAAAGCAGTTGAAATGGGGGGAAGAGGAGGGGAGGTAGATTTGCAATGAGAGGCTTGAAGCAGAATGATGGATTCTAGCAAATAGCAGTTTGGAAAAACTTAGGTGTGAATTGAGAGGATGTAGATGAGGTTGAAGGAGCCCTGGTGGCATAGCGGTTAAGTGTTTGGCTGCTAACCGAAAGGTCAGTGGTTCGAACCCACCAGCCTCTCCATGGGAGAAATCTGCTTCCATAAAGATTACAGCCTTGGAAACCCTATGGAGCAATTCTATTCTGTCCTATAGGGTTGCTATGAGTCGAAACTGACTCAACAGCAACAGGTTTGGGGTCGATGTGGTTGAGGAGTCCCTGGGTGGTGCAAACTGTTAATCACTTAGCTGCTAACCAAAAGGTTGAAGGTTCCAGTCCACCCAGGGTGCCTCAGAAGAAAGGCCTGGTGATCTACATCCCCAAAATCAGCCACTGAAAACCCTATGGAGCACAGTTCTCCTCTGACGCACATGGGTTCTCCATGAGTCAGAGCCGACTTGATGAGGCTGGTGAGGAAGCCAGGGTCCAGGACATGGTGGGTCAGAGGAGGAGCAGAAAGAGAAGGCATACTTCTGGGAGGGGGAAGGAGAAGTTTGAGGCAGACCTTGAGGACACTGGCACTTGACTGGCCAATCCTGCCTCTAGAATTTCCACTATCCTATTCCAACCTCGCTCACTCTTAATGTCTGACTTTGACTCACAGTTTTGCCCTTGACATTTATAGAGCAGGGAAAATCTGTTTAACCTCCAAGTGAGTTAGGAATTATTGCTCTCTGAATTGAGGCCAGACAGAAGAGTCTACTGAGAAAGCACAACCCCGTGAGTGGGAGAAGAATTTAACTTGCAAGACTTGTGATGGCTTCATGTCTATGCCGTTCATCACCCCAGGGGAAAAAAAAAAAGAAAAAAAGCTTGCCGTACAGTCATTGGAAAGGAGCCCTGATGGCGTAACGGTTAAGCTGTTGGCCGCTAACCGAAAGGTTGGCCGTTCGAACCCACCCAACAGCTCTGCAGGAGAAAGACTGGTGATCTCCTCAAAGATTACAGCCTAGAAAACCCTATGGGGCAGTTCTACTCTGTGGCATGAGGGTGGCTAAGAGTTGGAATTGACTGGACAGCACCTAACAACAACAATACTTACTGCAAGCGCGGTTCGATGCCTGACTTCCTCGGCCACTGGTCATGACACCTAGTTAGACACTTCAGAAGTTGCAAGTTTCTCAGAAATTGGAGACCAGTTAAACTTCAATTACAGATAAAAAAGAGATGGTTCTAGAAACTCACTAAATGTCCACCACCATTCCCAAGTGAGTGAAACCGCTGGGAATAGTATTCACCTTGAGATTTTTCACTGGACTGGACATTCAGGCCATGTTGTTGTGCTCTTGAAGACAGTCCCTTTCTGGTAGCTTCCTTTTCCAGACTTTTCTATTTTTATCCTACCCATGCACAATCTCTAACCTAACCCAATGTACTGCAGGAACCAACAAGTGATCATAAGTCCAGCAAACACGTATTTAGCATTTATAACTTGTGCAAGGGGCCACTCTCCACCACTCATCTGTCAGTTTGTCATTCTGTGGTGGCTTGCGTGTTGCTGTGATGCTGGAACCTATGCCACCAGTATTTCAAATGCCAGCAGGTATCACCCATGGTGGGCAGGTTTCAGCGGAGCTTCCAGTCTAAGACAGATTAGGAAGAAAGGCTTGGTGATCTCCTTCCAAAAACAAGCCAATGAAAAACTGTGGATCACAACAGAATATTATCCAATGGATCGATCCAATGAGTGTGAGGATGACGCAGGACTGGTCAATGTTTCATTCTGTTACATGGGGCCACCATGAGTCAGAGTCTACTCAATGGCAACCAGCAACAGGGGCCATTTCTAAGCTATGTATATACTTCAGAGGCCACAAGAAATCTGTTACTGAACCACAGAGGGAAGAACACTAATCTGAACCCACAAGTCAAAGGGTGTGTAACAGATGTGGACTCCAGTAAAGAGGGAAAAAATTGAAAGAAAAAAAAAGCCACAAAAACTATTGTGCTCAAATTGATTCCGACTCATAGCGGCCCTGTGTGTTACAGAGTAGAACTACTCCATAGTTTCCTTGGTTGTAATCTTTATGGACACAGATTGCCAGGCCTTTCTTCCATGGCACCACTGGGTGGGTTTGAACTGCCAATCTTTATAAAGGCTAACAGCTGAGCACAAACCATTTGCACCAGCCAGAGACTCCAAGGGAAAGGAGATGGTGGTTAAAGAGTAGGACTAACATGAGGAGCTCTATGCCTGGGGCAGGTAGCTCATGGTGGAAGATGTATTGTCCTGAGCCATTCAGCAGGGTGGGCGCCTTCCCATTCCGACTTGCAAGTTACTGGACTATCAGAGAAGGAAGAGTTCAGGGCTGGGCTCTGCTCTCCTCTCCCCTCCCCTCCCTCTTCCTCAAAGGAAAACATCCTCACAGGATGTCAGGAGAAAGTCCAACGTGTGTCCTCCAGGAATTCATCTGGGTGGGTTATTTTCACACCAAGCTGAACTCAGAAGTTGGGAATGGGGTCATCAGAATGGCGCTCTCTCCTTCAGTGGAGGAAAAAATGTCCTCTTTTTAAAGTACACGCACAGTACATTGTGATGAAACTCCATCCAAACAGGAAATTTCCAAGATTCCAGGCAAAACTGGTGCCTTGTTTTTAAAGGTAAGGCTTTTTCATTCATTAAAGTGGGTATTTCCTGAGCACCTACTACGTGCCAGGCACGTGACACAAAGTTGTTAGGAACCTAACATGTGCCCAGCATATATTAGGAAACACGAAAGAAAGGAAAGACAACCCCTCATCCCCCCAAAAAAAAATCTAGCGAAGTTTACAGGAGAGAAGCTATACGGGAGGCCGTGTCCTTTTTCTAAAAAATAAAAATAAAAGTCCTGAGCCCCCCTCGCTTGAGTCCCCGAAGTGTCTGAACTGAGCCCTGAGCAGGGAAAGTGGAAAGCCTGGGGTGAGGGGGATGGGCGTGGGAGTGGGTTGGGTGACAAGGTGGAAGGGCAGAGGCGGCAGAGGGACCGGGAGTTGGCTGGCGAGCCGCGCCAGAGGCAGGTGCCAACTGAGAGTGGGCGGAGGTGCGGCGCCCGGCCCGCGGGGGGAGGCCCCGCGCTACCTCTGCCTCCGCGCGCCCGGCGCGCAGACAAGCCGGGAGGAGCCCCTGCTTCGCCAACTCCCCGCTCCCGCCGCCGTGCCAGCCGGGGCACGGGCGTCCCCGCCGCCCGCAGAAGGAGCAGTCGCAGCAGCCGCTGAGGCGACAGCATCCTCTGGAGAGCCGCCCCAGGCTCTGCAGCCGCCGTCCTCCTCCCGGGGGTGAGCGCCGCCGCCTGCGTCCTCGGCTCCTCCTCGCCGTCGCCCTGGTCCGCCGCCCCGGACTGCACCCGGGGGATCTCCACCTGCCGCGGGCGCTCGGGCGGGCGGCCCCGGGGAGAGAAGGCGCGAGAACTAGGCGCCCCCGGGACCTCATCGCCTCGGCTCCACTCTGCCCCGGGAAGGGAAGCCTGCCCACGCCGCGAGCCCCGGCGCTCCCTGCACCCTGTCCCCAAGTTCAGGGCTGCACCCCTCAAAAAAGGCTCCCCTGCGCCGTGTGCAGCCAGCCGCGGGACTCCGGGCGCGTCTTCCGCCTGCGCTCAGGCGTCCTCCCGGGTCCCCGGGGACGGCCCGCGTCCCGCCGCCCCGCGCCCCGGCTGGGCCATGCCGGGGCTGCGCCGGGACCGCCTGCTGACCCTGCTGCTGCTGGGCACGCTGCTCTCCGCCGACCTCTACTTCCACCTTTGGCCCCAAGTACAGCGCCAGCTGCGGCCTCGGGAGGACCCGCCGAGCTGCCCCTGCGCGGGCCGCGTCTCGTCGCCGGCCTCGGACTCCCCCGCAGCCTCCTCGGACCCCGGCCCGGCCGCGCGTAACTTTTCCCAAGCCGGACCCCGGGCTGAGCGGGGCGGCGATGGCCGCAGCGGCCCTGGCTCCAAGCTGCAGGCCCTCTTCGCCCACCCGCTGTACAGCGTCCTGGAAGAGCCGCCTCTCCTGGGGCCCGAAGACTCACTACTGGCCAGCCAGGAGGCGCTGCGGTATTACCGGAGGAAAGTGGCCCGCTGGAACAGGTGAGGACCCTGCCCTGCTCCCCGCGCCAGGCGCCCGCGTGCCCCGCCGAGTTTCCCCCGCCGCACCCGGCCTGGCCCGCGGCGACGCCCTAAACTCTTAAGCCTGGCGTTTGGCTTAGCGTGTGCTCCGCATCTTTACACCCCCTCCCCCAGCTGTTCAGTCTCAAAGTAAGACAGTGCAAGAAAAAGTTTTTATGCCGCTTCACAGCGAAGAAACGCTCTCCGGCCCCTCCCTTTGAGCCACTCTTGTTCGCGCCTTAGCCCCACTCCTGATCCCTGATTATTTTCCCTCTTTCGCCGGGTGGAAAGCCCCTGCTGGACTTCCCGGGATGAGGTTTCCGGGCTGGTTCGAATTCAGCACTCACCTCTGCTCTTTGGGTACACTTGGGCGCCTTCCAGAAAGCAACCCTATTCCCCGGAAACCCTTGCTCTTTTTCCTTTCCTTTGCCTGGTGTCCTTTTAACGAGCTCAAAAGAGGTCAGCTGGGACAGGAAGTAAACGGTCATTTCTCTGCCACAGCCACCTCTCTGTTCGTGTTTAAAACGTGGCTTCTCCCACTCTGGGGAGTATTGTAACTTGAAGGCAGTTTTATTACCGTGGTGATTTGGGCTAACTTGAATCTGAGACTTGATGCTTCAGCAGAGGAGATAAAAATCTGCCTGGGAATGTTTAAAACCCAAAGCAAAATGTAGAGAAAAAAATACGTAGAATAAGATTAAGAAGGATGCTTTTGTAAAAGAAAGTGGGGTTTTGGAGAAGGCAGGTGGTTATTGCTGAGATCAGCTAATGGCAGAAAGCCTTTCTATGGTTAAGGACTCCGTTTTGAAGTACAGAACTTGTTTTAAATACCGCTCACAGCCAGAGTTCGCTCTTGGGCCACACCCATCACTTTCCTCAATGCCAGAGATTTCAAAATGAGATGTCATCGGGTGCTTTTATAGTCCCTCAGGAGGATGGGCAGACCTTAACTCTGTTGAAACTCAGAGCTAGTCATATGCCCAAATTTAACTGTTTGCTCATTACTCCCTAGTGCTGAGACTTACTGAAAATAAAATAAAATAAGCCTTCAGAAAGTAAAAAGAGGAAGAGGTTCAGAGATCTCGGCGGAGATCACTGCAGTGAATTTCAGTTGCAGCTCTGTGGCTGACGGTTTTATATTAGAAAGTAGTTCTCCATTCCATTGCTAATTGTACGCAATAAAAAGGCAGTTTGAGATGGATTCTCAGACACTGTCATTTTCAATATTACCTTTATCTCATCAATAACATGGGCGTCTGGATCAGTGAACTAGGAAATTTTGCCCTTAGAACAATTATCTACATGCCTAATGTGGATTCGAGGTCATTAGATGGCACAGATGGTTTGCGCTGGACTACTAACCTGTAAATTGGCATTTAGAACCCACCCAGCAGTGCTGCAGAAGCAAAGCCTGGTGATCTGCTTCCATGAAGAGTACAGCCAAGAAAATCCTATGGAGCAGTTCCAGTCTGTAACACAGAGGGTCACTATGAGTCAAAATCTATTCTATGGCAAGTGGGGTGTGTGTGTGTGTGTGTGTGTGTGTGTGTGTGTGTGTGTGGATTTGAAGGTGAGGGACTGTTAGCAAAGTCACTTGCAGACTTGCTTTTATAAACGTAGATCAGCATTCATTTTGTGGTTTTTTTCGTGGTCTTAAACTTACAATGTTACTTTGGTCCCACAAGAAAATCCAGGGGAATTTTTTGGCAGAAAAGCAAAAAATCATTATCACCCAGCTGTCTTACGGTCGATTCCGAGCTTGATTTCTACACCTCTATATGTCACAAAAAACACATTTACTGACCAGAAAAGATCTCGGTCATTTAGCAGAGGATCAATGGGGGTTAATGACCTTGCTGTATTCAGAGGTAATAGGCAGTGAGGTTGGTTGGATGTGACAGTTGTGATAAATACCACTGTCACTTCCTTCAAACACCTAAAATCACAAGCGAAGTTTGCGAGCGATAACAGGACAGTCAGCTGTATTTACGAATGTCGAAACTGGACCTCAGAGGCAGAGAACACCCCACCTTCTCCTGAACTGTAAATGTCCACGTGACGATATTATTAAGCATATGTGTCGTTACTTATGTCAGAGTTAAAAATGGAAGATGGAAGACTCATTAGCCAGTGGGAATTTGACTCAGGCTTAGAGTTGTATTGTGAGAGAGAGTCATTTATTACGACCTTCAGTGGGCCTGTGCCCCGAGGACACATGGATGTGCAGAAACCCGCGTGCCTGCTACATGCAATGTGTAGCATCAACGAAGGCTCCAGACCTTAGGACAGAGAAATAATTACAGCAGACAGCAGAAGAAGAAACAATGCATGACTTTGCTAATTGTTTTTCTCTTGCGCAGACAGTAGCCCTTTTTGTTTATAGCCACAACCTAGACAATATTTTTAGTCTAGTGATTTATAGACATATGTCAATGCCTCCATGCCCATAATTACCTAGCATTAGCTGCTATCGAAAATAATGGTATCTGCAAACCATTCTCCACACTAGAAGATGGACAGGTAAGAAAATAGGCCAAGTCAGCATTCTTCACCACTTGCCCAGAAGAGACCATTAGTCTCTCTGAGTAATTTTTTTTTTTTTTGCCACAGTAATAAGTAATGCTGTGAAATCAGAAAGTATCTTTCTACAACTTGAGCCATTACCAGTACCAAAGAAACCAAACACATTGCCATTCTTCCTCAGGGCAACTCCATATGTGCAGAGTAGAACTGTGCTCCATAAGGTTCTCAATAGCTGTGATCTTTTGGAAATAGATCACCAGGCATTTTTTCCACCTTTGGGTGAGTTCAAACCAGGGCTTCAAACCCATTCTTCCCGGTTCAATCATGGACAAGGAAGCAACACCGGGACAGACCCAAATTTGTTAAACTTTACTGAACCATAACTGGAATGGGAAAAATTATGGGTCAAAGTCCTGCTAGAAATTTAATCTCCCTCTTGGAAAACAAGGGCAACATACATGTTGCATAGCAACCAAATCTCTCGCCCGTCAGATTTTGCACAGAGTCAGAACAGCGGTGCCCTGCTCAAAGATGGCAGCCAGCCACGCTGCTTTGAATGTGTGTTGCTCTCCTCAGTCCTGGCAATAATCCAGTCTCACGCATCAGGCTCCTGAAAGGGCTCACTACACCTTTTCTGAGTCTCCTATTCCAGAGCTTCAACCCGTAATTTTTCCCATTGTGGTTAAAGTTCCGGGTCACCATAAATTTTAAAAATTTGGGTCTGTTCCGGTTTCACTTCATGGGCCATGACTGAACCAGTTCAAACTGGTTTGAAGCCCTTTCGATTAGTAGTTGAGCCCTTAACTGACCTCACCACCCAGGGACTCAATAACAGTTAAAAAAAAAACTGTTGCTGTCAAGTCAGTTGTGACTCAGGGTGACCTCAGTGTTACAGAGCAGAACTGCTCCATGGAGTTTTCTCAGCTATAAACTTTATAAAAGCAAATTATCAGTCCTTTCTTTCACAGTGCCACTAGGTGCGTTCGAACTGCCAACCTTTAGATTAATAGCTGAGAGCAAACCATTTTTGCAACCCAGGAACTCCATTACCAATAAAAAACAAAAAACCCACTGCCATTAAGTCAATTTCAACTCATAGCGACGCTATAGGACAGACTAGACCTGCCCCCTAGGGTTTCCAAGGCTATAATCTTTACAGAAGCAGACTGCTACATCTTTTTCCCAAGGAGCCACTAGAGTGTTCGAACCACAGACCTTTTAGTTAGCAGCTGAGCACTTTAACCTGCACCACCAGGGCTCCTTCCGTTACCAATAAAGCAAAACCAAACCCACTGCGTTGAGACAATTCCAACTCATAGCGACTTCATAGCAACCCCATTTCCAAGGCTGTAAATCTCTACAGAAGCAGACTGCCACATCTTTCTCCCAAAGAGCCACTAGTGGTTTCAAAACACCAACCTTTCGGTTAGCAGCCAAGTGCTTTAAACACTGCGCCAGCAGGGCTCCTTTCCATTACCAATAGGAGGTAGGTGATAGCCTGTCTTTTTCCCCCAGCCATTCACTTTCAATTTCACATCATGGAAGATGGAGATTATCCACTGTTTTGAATGTTTCAGGTGTTTGGTCAGTATTTGTTCGTTTGACTTCAGCATTTAGCTGAGCTGAAATGCAAAAGACATAATCATGCGTAGGGTGGGCTGTCAGCGAGCCGTCTGACCCTCAGGCTTTCTGCAATCCTCCTCAACCTGCTGTTCTTCTTTCCCTCCTTCCCTTTCCCCCTCAAAATGTAACTAAGTGTGGCACAATCCAAGTTAAAAATGCAATCAGGGAAAGTGTTTCTGTCAGATCATCAGCCACTGATCACAGCTAGAGAGCCAACGCCAGGCTCCATCAGGTACAGTGACACATTTGGCACCTGTCTTGAATGGTAAAGAGGAGACAGCACAGGGAGCAAAGAAGAAGTCATCGTCCCTATTTCAAGCCATAAACTAACAAGGTAGAATTATGCTCCTGTTAGTCCTTTTCCTTACTAAGTAATGATGTAAGGCAGGGCTTACCTGCAGCACAGGTAACAGTTCACTGATTGCTATCCTTGCATCCTTAGAGGCTGGGCTTTGGATTTCTTCCTTGGCCTTCAAGCTATCCAAACCAGACAACATCTGTCCTTTGACAGGTCAAAACTGGTCAGCTTGGTCTCGCCTTTTGCTCCCATGCCTTTGGTCAGTTCCTTTGTAACCCTGTGGTCTTGGCTGGCAATGTCAGGCAGAGGGATGGCTTCCCGATCTAGAGACTCCAGCAGCTACAGCTCAGATTTAACAACTCTCTGCTCTTCTTTCTTGATGTCTTCCCCAGATATCAGGAAGGTTACATTTTCCTGTGGATATAGGTCAGCATTTCTTAGAAGTGGTGTGTGTGTGTGTGTGTGTGTGTATGTGTGTGTGTGTGCGCACGAGCACCCGCATTTCCCACTATCAGAAGCTCCTGTCATCCCTACTTGC